CTGCATAATTCATAAATGTTTGCAATGGAAATAATTCTGAGGCTTTTATAATACTTCTAAATTTTCATGAAATAAAGTTCCATTAAAGTTTACTTGAAGGAGACTCTCAGTGCAAGCACTCGAAAAGAAGTTATGCTACATTTACATATTATGAAATGGTTGAATGTACAGTATTTACTTGTAACAGCGGTGCTCAATATATCGCGTTTTCTGAAAGAATGCATATGTTGCCTAAAATCGAATTTAAATCACTATAATCAGAATAATTGGCTAAAGTATTAAATTGTAATTTTTACAGCATCAATCGAATTAGTGGATTTTATTGAAGATAAAAATGTGTTGATATTGACAAGCTATATTAGTTTTTGTACTATAATGAATGCTAGCTAGTAGCTATATGAATATAATGAATGTACTATAATGAATGCTACCTAGTAGCTACTCTAGTTAATAGCTAGAGTAAAACTCAGGATATGGTAACATTAAATAAATAAATAAATAAATTTAAAAAAAAAAAAAAGAAGAAGAAGCAGAAAACGAAAGCGAAAAGGAACTGAATACATTCGGAAAGAGAAGGCTTACTATGGTGAAACATTAGAAACGTGTAGACAAAGTGTTAATACTATATGTGAGAAAATACTAAGGACAAATTGAAATACATCATAGCTACGTTTGGTGCTTTCTATATTATTTGTATCAATATTAATATAAGTACCGAAAAAAATACTTAAAAAATAGGTATTTTCGAAAACTTTAAAGGAACAAAATTGCAGTCTGAAAATTTATAGCAGCGGAACTTTTGAAGTAATTTTCATGCCTTCTGAAGGTCGCCATGAACATAACAATTTATAACTGTCAGCTTTTACAACTAGGAATCAGATAAACTCTATTGTCTTGGTAAACCGGACTGTCTAGTAATGTTTTCGGTACTGTCTAGTTTCCGGGAATGGCGATGTATGCAAGCTTTTTCCTCTTTCTGCCCTAAGAATAAACAGCTCATAGGGGAATTCTGAAAAATATATAACCCTTTCATATATGTACTCATACCCTGATATTCACAATAGCGTTTCTTTATTTAGATAGCTTTGAGCATGCAAATTCAGTAAAAATCAGAAAACAAGTACCATACTTATAACAAAGCAGGTTATCTCAGTAAATGAAGGGAATTAAGTACCGGCGATGGCAAGATTTTCCCATGGTTTGAAGACTAAGTAATTTATTCCTTTCAGAAAATTTTCTCGGAAAGCAAATCATCACTTACGGATAGAAGAATGTTCTAAGAACTACGGGATAAATTTATAATGGGAATAAAAGAATGAAAGAAATCGGAAACTCTTTTCTAGTAATCATTTTACTCCTCGAAAGTTGGTTTCAGTATCACCTTTTTAAGGAAATGACACATGAAATGGATTTCAGAAACTGAATCTCGAAATCATCAATAACTATCCAATATTCTGCATTTGTAAATATTTATTTAATTTGCATTTCAACCAAATGTTGAAAACAAAGCGGAAAAAAATCTCCTTACAAAAGGAAAAAGAAAAAAAAGATTCCTTTTTTTTTACAGTGATATTCCATTAAATTATATCAGAAAATCATATCACTGATTGGATGCAATAAATACTAATTTCAGACATGTTGCCTGTTTATGTTGTTAACTCTCTTTTGCAACTGAACACTGGTAGTTTTGCCTAAGTTTGAATTCCGGCGAATGCGTTCGTTGCTTGGTATTTTGGTGAATTTTAGGTTGAATATATCCAAACCAGTTTCCCTGAAAAAGTCATCATCTACAAACGCATCCTTTTCCTCAAGCAGGTGCCCATCGTATGCTGCCTGACGAATGTGCAAGAATTTTTCTTCTTTTACACAGCTTTCATAATCACATATTACCCACCAGCGGCCGAGCGGTAAAGACGCTGAACACTGGTAGTTCGGTCCGAGGTTCGAATCCCGCGAACGGGCTGGCTGCATGGTCGTTTTCGTGGTTTTCCCCATGTGTAACGTGTATACGAGCCAGTTTCCCTTAGAAAGTCCTCCACGAAAGCATCTCTCCATTTAGGCAGATAACCCTCGTGTGCTTTGCCTTGAATAGCACCATACCAATAATACCATAATCACATATTATATTATTGAACATTTTTAATTTGCAAAACTATAAGTTATGGAAAACTCAATGACATATTTATTTAGATAAATAAAAAGATAAAAATTAAATGCGTCATCGACATCATTTTGTTAGTAATATCATTATATAATCTATTGTACTTTTTTTTTTTTTTTTTTTTTTTTTTTTTTAGTGTACTGGGGAATTAAAGAAAATTTCTCAAAAGTATCATCATGTTTTCGTAAACTGATATATAGTGTTAAATTATTATATTAAATTTCAGTTTATTATAGCAGAAATCGTAAATAGCTGCATTATGTATAGCTCTTGCTTCGCTGAGCTTTCAGAAGTTAATCTGCGTCCATCCGCATAATCGAGGAAGCAGGTCGATTTGTTTCTCAGTGCAATCGCTGTGGGATCTTAATTCTACTGACCGATGTTCTATAAATTTAAAATATTTTGCCCTGCCTAAATTCTGTAGCTCTCTCTACATTCTAAAACTTTTGCCGTTGTCAAGTGCCAAATTCTTAGAATTTCGCCATCCCTAAATTTTCTTGTTCGATGCCTCTTTAAATTCTAAGAATTTTTCAGCCATTAATCTGCCTCCTGGCCAGACGTGTTTTTCGATGCCACATATGTCACTGAAAAAGTTTGAAAAATCGGAATTTTAAAAGCAAACTTCCTACTTTTCATCAAATAAATTTTATCGATTAGCAGTGCTATGGAAGCATTAAAACATTTATGTAATAAATACACAAATACTTCAGAAACATTTTTTTCTCTCTACTGAAGAAAGGCCTGTCTCTGACTACCTGCGAATTTGATTAAGTTTTATCCAAAATCTACGTCAAAGCGTTTCTTTTTGGCCTAATATTAAATTTTACATTGGCATGTTCCTGTCCCTGCTTGATGTTGACAAGATTTATTCAAAACTTACTGTTCTTATTTTTTATTTTAAAACAAACAATTTAAATGGAAATCCTCAGCTTGCTTTTATTTATTTAAATAATAACATTTGATAATGTGAATTGAGATCTCTAAGAATTAATTTGCGTATTTGAACCCAAAAAAATGTTAAACACCAATTTTGAAGCTTTTGTTTTGGTTTGCTTTATTTTTCCTTCAAAGCACGCGAGAGCTATCTGCCTAAAGGGAGGAATGCCTCCGTGGAGGACATTCTAAGAAAAAACTTACTCGCGCCCACATTATGCACAGGGAAAACCACAAAAATTCCACTTTGAAAGGTAAAAGTACCTAATTTTTTAGAGCGAGATTTTCCTAACAATGAATTTTAGCAATTTAATACAAGTGCTATATTTAATTAAGAATTAAAACAATGTTCTTTTGTGATTTACGTAAGGTAACTCTTTCAAAGTCTGTCAAAAATAAATCATATGAAAATGCACCGAATTTCAGTACCATGTAATTTAGTTCGGAAACTGAGAGGTATCTGTGACATCTTGTCTATATGTAGAAAATTTTTAATAAGGTTATTATAACTGAAATTTGTTTCAAAATATTCAATATTTCATAACTTCTATCAACCAATAAATGCGATAAAGGTAAACTCATCCTTTATAAAATATGAAACAAGATAAACGAAATAAATTTGTGGTAAAATGAATTACAAACATTATGTCGAAATGACTGACACTGAGCATGTGTTTGTTATTTTAATAGTAATTTAATTATCAATTACATGTAGCTTTCAATAGGAATTAGGTATTTTAAGCCTCTTATAAATTTTTTCTTAGCGTTAAAGCTCGATAACATGAATCAAAAGCAGAAAATTAGTTAAACTACACTGTCTCACTAGTCGTAAGATTATATTACTGAAATATGCATATAAAAACAAATTAACATTTTATAAACGTACATTAAAATACCGAAACGCAATAAAAATCAATAACATTTATACTTAAAAAGCAACAAAGCCGGGCTCATGTGAATCACTAGAAGAGGCGCCAAATTGGCTATACGAATTCGAAAATTACCTTTAATTATTAGAGGAAATAGGCTTCGTCAAACTTAAATCAAATAAAACAAACCAAAAAAATTGCAAGAAAACCTGGAAATTAATGCAATATGCATTTCAGTGTTATTTCTTATTTATCAAAAACGAATTTTTTAACGTTTTCATTTGAAAATTATAAATAATTGGCTACATTATTTCTTTGAATTTATAAAACTACGATTAAAAAATACTTTAAGAATTATGGTATAATTATGCTATAAGAGTTATGACATTTTGATTTAATACAATTACTTTTGCTTAATACAAGTGTAGCTATTTTTATATTTATATGGACGCGCATTGACCTTTCTGCCTCAGGTGAAAAATTATCTTGGCACGGCTCTGATAAGCAATTAAGATTAGAAATATGCACAAAATTAGTAACAAGGCAATACAAAACTTCCTTTTCTGTTTTGGATTTCCAGAAAAAATATCTTTTTTCGTCTAACCAAAGCATGGACACAAAACGTGTTCCTTCCTCCGTAAGGGCAAAAGCAGCCCATCTGCTTACTCGCCTCTAGGCGGTAATCAAAGGACAGTAGGAAACCATCACTTAAGTGAAACGACTTGTTGATCGCCCTACAAGAAAGGGGGAAGAAAATCTAACAAAGGCCGTTTTCAGGACAATTTTGGTTCACACTAAATGAAAAAAAAATTGTAAACATGGTTAATTTTTACTGCAGTTTTCGAGACGTAAATAGATTTGAATGCGAGCCGCCCGGTGGGTTAATTTAATTTTTTAACATAAATGAAACTTATCTTAAATATTTAAAATCTTGGGTATAGAAATAGGTTCAATTCATTTTCTTATAATTGTGAAAAATATTTTCATGTATAATTATACATTTAGAATACTTTTATTAAAAATTGTGTGTTTTACAGTGGATCTCGTTGTCCTATTGGAGAAGCATGCTCTAATAAAAAATTTCAAAAAGTGAGTATTGTTTAATATGAATATTTTTACAACATAAAATAATTTTATAATGATCGCTGATTTTGTGCTTTTATTAAAATGTATGTGAATTTAATTTACACAAATGTTGTATAACACTTGGTGGCAAAATTAGATTAATAATTTTATCAAAGAAATTATCTGTCATTTTTAATATTTTAACAGCTATGAATTAATATTAAGTGTAGTTTGTCATTTTTATTTAACATGTAGGTGACATTAACATTTTACTTAACATTTAGGTAATCTGGAAAAATAGTTACTTGAAGGTTTGAAGCAACTTATTTAATGATTACGATATTTGAATATTTTTCTTTTTGATTTTAATAGGTGGAAAATTGCAAATCAGTTTTATAGAATGACTGTTTTCTTTCACCTTTAGAATAAAAATGAAGGGGGCGGGGAGAATATTAATCACATATCCAAAAATTTCTGTTCATTTTCAGCAGATTAATTTTTTTATTTAAAGGTTATAAATTTTAAACAAGGGATTTTATATATAATCATTTGTATTTATGCATGCTAAATGATTATAGGTGTAAAATATTTTGTTGTCTATTCTTTTTTTTTTCAAATACACTCTATTAAAAAAAAAAAAAAAATATCGACGCACCAAGAATGTGTTGTCCGATGGAGACAAAAAGTTGGTGGATATGAAAATTATGTACAAATTAGAAAATGATTAAAATTTCTGAACAGCTGAATGATTTATTTCAGAGTTCCTAGTTACAAAATAATGAGCTCAATAAGGTGTTGACCAACCTCTAACCTAAATGCAAGCTGCCACACGGCATGGCATAGACTGATAAAGCTCCTGAATGGTCTCCTGTGGTATATCTTGCCAAATTTGCTCCAATTGTCGAGCTAGGTCATCAATATTCCCTAGTAGATGCAGTCGCCTTCCCATCATATCCCAGACATACTCAATGGGAGAGAGATCTGGCTGGCCAATGAAGTGTTTGACAGGCTGTAAGACAGTTCATAGCAAGACATGCCATATGTGGTCTGGCATTATCTTGCTGAAAAATAAAGTCAGGGTACTGCAAAAGGAACGGTAGCAAAACAGGTCTCAGAATGTCGTCGATATACCACTGTGCTGTAAGGGTGCCTCTAATGACGACCAAAGCGGCCCGGCTATCAAGGGAAATAGCACCCCAGACCATAACTTCTGGTTGAGGTACTGTGTGGCATGCAGTAGTGAAAGAAGGATCGGCTCGCTGCTCTTTTGATCTGCAGACACGTCTTCGATGATCGTCATGACACAGTCGGAAGCAGGATTCGTCGTTAAAGACTGCACATCCCCAGTCAGCACCATTCAAACCTGATCCAGCCAAGCACCACTGTAATCTGTCTCGACAGTGTGAAGGCATGAGTGGCAGAGGGCATATTGGTCGGTACGAGTGTAGATTTTATTCTATCAGCCATCTGTCAATTGTCACGGTGAACACTTGTGTGCAGGTTGCATATATGATGGTTGATAGCGATGAATCAGGAGCTGTGACAGCTGATTTGATAATCTTTCTGTCCTCCCGATCTGTTGTGGCCCTAGGTCGACAGCTACCATCATGACACTGAAATCTGCCATTGCCCACCCATTCTTGCAAGCATCTTCTAATTACCGCATCGCTTCTTTCTACTCATATGATAAGCGATTCTCCGATTTGCCCAACATGCTTTTTTCAGTCCAATGATATGACCTCTTTCAGACTCTGACAGTTGCTCAGAATGAGCTTGAATTCTGCAGCGAGACATTTTTACAGTCGTTGAAAGGTATCCTAAATAAGTGGTGCGCAAACTTTTTTCGACTGCGACCCCTAGAGATAAATGCTCACAAATACGATGTATATTTCGTGCATTTCTTTCATTTCATCGAATAAAAACATCATCATATCTATCTCATATTAATTTTATTTATAATTTAAAGAAAATACTTTTTGTATAACACAAAAATCAGTAAATTGCCCTTTAATGAGATGTATGTGGCTGCAAGTTTCTAATTATCTCATCGATGTTTGGATGTATGTTGCTAATTGCAATTCGCATATCATCTTCAGGGTTTAAACGCGAGCGGTATTTAGTTTTTATTGAAACTAGTTTGCTAAATCCAGTTTCACATAAATACGTTGATGCAAATTGTATTAACACTCTGATGGCATTCTTGCATAAAAACGGGATATTGTTTTTCCACGGATAGCCAAAATTTTTGGCAAGGCTGAGTCTTAAATTGATTTCGAAGAGTATAATCACTAATTAGATCTATCAATTGCTCTTTCTCACTAATTTGAAGAGAGTTGAACTGCATATGTCAAAGGAAAATGGATCACGAATCCAACCAAGATCGTTTTCAGGAAAATCCTCGAATCTTCTCGAAAAATTTTCCTTTAACTTTTCAATGTGATTGGAAATGATGTTTTTAAATGTAAATATATCTATATTATTTTCCTTGATAAAATCGTTAAAGCAAGGGAACATGTCGGTGTTGTTTTTATTCAGTTCAGTTTGCCAGAGACTAAGCTTATTCTTAAAAGCTTGAATTTTACTGGCTGAAGTTATTAGTTGAATTCTCACCCTGCAAGCTCAAATTTAAGTCGTTAAGTTTTTTGAAAATATCAACTAAATAGCTCAGCTTCCCTAGCCAAACTTCATTAATATAATAACTTGCCAATTTATGTTTCTTTTCGATTAAAAACATGTACACTTCATTTCTCAAATCAAATACCTGTCGTAGTATTTTCCCACGTGAAAGCCATCTGACTTCGGTGTGTAACAGTAATCTCTCGTACGTTGAGCCCATCTCATTGCAAAGTATTGAAAAGAGACGGCTGTTGTGGCTGTTGCATTTAATGTAGCTAATTGAACTAACAGCGTCTTGTAATATATTGTGAAACTCTTCATCCATATCTTTTGCAACAAGAGCTTGCCGATGAATCATACAGCGATTAAATACCATATGAGCGCCACCTTCTGAAATAAGCCTCTGAGCCCTTTATTCGAACTTGTTAATGCTGCAGCACTATCAGTACAAACCACAACACTTTGCCCAGGTAAGAGACTTTGTTTCAAAATATTCATTTTGAAAATATTCACTTCGAATATTTTTTCTCCAGTTGTTTTTCCTTCCAAACTTTTGCAACATAAAAACGTTTCTGTTATATCTTCATTAAAAATAAATCTAACGTAAATAATTAGTTGTGACATTTTAGTAATATCGGTAGTTTCGTCCAGTTGTAAAGCAAATACACATGAATTTTGTATGCGTTTTATGACTTCTGACTCGATATTTCGTGACATTTCAGAAATCCGCCGAGACACGGTATCTCTTGATAATGGTATTGTTTTTAGTTCATTTCCATATTTATCGCCATGCATAATTGATGTCATCTTAGTTGCTGCAGGAAGGATAAGGGATTCTCCAATTGTATGGGGTTTCATTGTTTTTCCTATTAGATAAGAAACTTCTAAAGAAGCTCGTAATGCTTTCTGAGGTATTGTTGTAAATTTCTCTTTAAATGTGCACTTTGAATTTTCAGCTCGTCTTTTGAAAAAAATTGGCATCATTTTATTTTGAAAGTTCTTTATGTTTAGTTTCCTGGTGCCTTTTCAATTTAGCTGGTTTCATGCTCTCATTTGCTAATTTTTCGTTGCAAATGACACATCTCGGGCGTTCTTCATCATCAACAACACAAAATGTAAAACCATAACTTAAAAAATTCTTCATTGTGTTTTCTTATTTTTTTAGATTCGGCATTTAGTTCAGTATTTTGTGACTCCTCATCAGTATTTGTTCGTTTGTTAGCTGAAGATGTGCCTGGTGTACATATTACCCATTTATCCATATGAATGTAGGGGTTATATTATTTAAACTAAAACAAAATAATATATAAATTTTATATTTTTTTTTTCGAGAAATTCAATAAAATTAACAGAGATATTTCTCTAATGATAGTACATACCTGATAACAAAAAGTAGCAAAGCCCGATAAAAATATAAAAAATCATAATTACACAACGTCACATGATAAAACTCGAGGATAAACTAAAACAATTGCAGACCAACTGCTACCTACATGCTAAAACTTCATGCGAACACTTCACGTCTTCACCCTGACTATCAGATATCCTGCGTACCTGGCCATCTGATTGGCTGATCACGGAAGCGAATTTTTCCCCTTTCCTGCGGTTAACAGTCTAGTCAAATAGGCGCTTTTCAGTAAAAAACTGGCGAATTACCGCGAAGAGGGCGCTATCTACCGGAGTGAAAAACTTGCGTCTTCACACTTTACATACATTATGCATTATGGTCAAAGAAAGAGCGTACAGAATGAAATTGCAATTAAACAGTGAGTGACGGCACTTCACTCTTTATATGTACACTGTATGGTATGCAGCATGCAGGCATAATGCATTTCATAAAAATTTGGCGACTTCCAAAAAACTTCTGGCAACCCCCACAGGGATCACAACCCCTAGTTTGAGCACCACTGTCTTAAATCACAATGTAACATAAATTTTTAACAACAGTTCAAAAACAGCTCCTTAGATACATCTGCATGCGCAGTTCTGATGCACTGGAGACCACACTGTTCATTCATTGGACACCAAATTTTAATCATTTGCATATTTGGTCGAAGCATTTATGCATACAAAATTCCAAAGCAGTTTAATGATTCCTTCTTGGTGCATCGATTTTTTTTTTTTTTTTTTTTTTTTTTTTTTTTTTTATAGAGTGTATTTTTCCCACCTACTTAGTCATTAAACAAATTAGAAACTTTTTGGTTCTGATATTTAAAAAGTTAAGAATGCTAATTGGTGTAAACTATAGTTTCTCTGCTTCTGTAGCTCCCCTTCCTCATCCTTTTTTGTACTCATTAAAAAAAAAAAAATTTTTTTTTTTTTTTGAAACATTATGTGTTTAGAAGGCAAAGATGCAAATAAGTATTTGGCAAGTTAAAGTTGCTATTTTTAAGAAATAAAATGCCATTTTGAATTCTTTTTTAGAAACAATATGTTAAGGCTGAAATATTTCATGCTGAGAAAAAAGGATGGGGTCTACGCACACTTGAAGACATTTCTGTGTGAGTATAATATTTTTTATATTTATTAATAAGATTTGCATTGTTACAATAACTGCTGTAAATTATATATATTTATCTTTTCTTTTCACCTTGTTGCTTAAAATTTCAGATATGCTGATATATATTTTTATTAGATATTATTATGCTGATTTATATTTTTGTTGTTGTTGCTATTCTATAATTCTCTTTTTCAGATACTAATATGTTTTTTATAGTTTTTATGATTTTGATAGAAAAATTAAATCTGAATATATTTGTGATATGTTTGCTAAATTTAGAAAGTTCTAAAGTGTATTTTTTCACACTTTGCTAAAATATAATTTCTGAATCCAGTGCTGCCTCCCTCTTCCCGCAGAAAAAGTGACCACGATTTAACAGATGATATCTGTAGACTTTTTTATTTTTAGAAGCTGCTAGCAATGTGTAGTATGATTTCCTCTAAACAAATGTCATTACTAATGGACATGTGATATAAAGTAGTAAATGAAAATGACCACCACATGGTTGTTATTTAAGGCTGTGGTTTCAAACTCAAATTGCATGTGGGCCTAATGCTCGATATGAAAACAGCTGATAGGCTACAAAATTTTTTTAGCAAAATTTTAAAATATTTTTGACAAAAAAATTAATCTAAATTTTAAATTTCACTTGCTGAATATTTTTTTGGGGGGGAGGAAAGATAATGACATAAAGGAAAAAATTTAGATATTATTTACTTTCCGTTTGAAGTTTAAATTTGGTGCCTGCAAGAAATTTCTATTCGTTCTGCTTCATAATTCAAGTGCATTGACAGTTAAATACAGTCAAAAGTCGTTAATCCGAACTTCTGCGATTCCGAATTATCGATTTTTCCAGATTATAGATCATCAGTTTAAATCTGGTAAGATGGCACGCAGAAATTATAAAATTAAAAATATGAAACCGTAATTTATGAAATAAAGAACAATTGTGATCTAAAGGGTAGAAAAAAAATTTACAAAAAAAAAAAAAAAAAAAAAAAAAAAAAAAAAAAAAAAAAAAAACTTAATATTTATTTGTTTACTTTATTAAACATTTCTTTCAATGTAAGTTGTTTAAGTTGCTTCGTTCATGTGATAATAATTTCTCTTTAATTCTATTAAACAGACATAATTTCTTGTTTAGTTACAAAGTTCCGCTGTTCAAGTCCTATAAATGATGTGTCGAGAATACTGACTAATTTGTCAATCGACTTTTTTTTTGGTTTCAATATCCTCTGTGTCACTTTCTTCACTATCGGAAGCGAATTATAGTGACGAGGAACTTGATTTAAATCACATCAAAACGGAGTACATCGAGATGAAATGCTACATTTAGTAAGGAATTATAAGCCAAATAAAATAAAAACATCTGCTCTGAAGATAAGGATAGTGCTGACAGATCAACTTCCAATTCATTGCCCGCCGTGATGTACCCCCCGCAGAGCAGCGTGAAATTGATAAACAGATTTCGGATTTCGAAACATACTTTTGCTTTGTAGATCCTTTACATATTAGGAAATATATATTGGAAATTCTATTTGACATAATCGAAAGTTCAAGCTTACTTTTATAAAATTGCTCTAACAGTCTGCAAAAAATAATAAGTCGAATCCAATTCGAAGATTAAGGAACAACGCAATCTGCAACATTAACTTGAATTAGATAATTTTAGCTTAGCTTATACCGTGCATTATACATTAAACGCGCATTCGTAAACGTATTTTGCGCACGCGCACACGCATATTCCCAGCCGTAAAGGTAACGCCTTTACGTAACGCCAGCCGCACACGTAAACGCGACACATGAGCAGAAAGTTTGTAGCTTTGAGTTCCGGATTATGGGTGCCCGAATTAATGACTTTTGACTGTATTAAGTTTTAGACTGATATTTATTTTAGATAATACCAATATGTTGAATTAACCATTAAATAACTTGCTTTTAACCTTAACCAGAAATTTCAGAACACTGATGTGCCATCAGCTCTCCGCTGGCAAACATTTATTGTTAGCTTATACCGTGCATTATACATTAAACGCGCATTCGTAAACGTATTTTGCGCACGCACACACGCATATTCCCAGCCGTAAAGGTAACGCCTTTACGTAACGCCAGCCGCACACGTAAACGCGACACATGAGCAGAAAGTTTGTAGCTTTGAGTTCCGGATTATGGGTGCCCGAATTAATGACTTTTGACTGTATTAAGTTTTAGACTGATATTTATTTTAGATAATACCAATATGTTGAATTAACCATTAAATAACTTGCTTTTAACCTTAACCAGAAATTTCAGAACACTGATGTGCCATCAGCTCTCCGCTGGCAAACATTTATTGTTTATACCAATGTGGGAAATTCTTCCATCTTACCTTAATCAAATAGCATGATAGCATAAAAGCATACAGTGACAAAGATATAACCCAATTTATTCTATCCCCCTTTTTTCTCCAGAAGCAATCATGCAAATAAGCCCGTCTATATTTTATGTCTCTAAAACTAGACACATCATATTTGCAACAGATGTAACTGGAATGTAGTATTTGCAGGCCATATAAATCTACTTCAGGGGCTGTGTACTGCCCATGAATTTGAGACCAATGACTAAAGGCACTAGGAATGTAAGCATTTTAAAGTGATATTTAAAGTTTGGAAGTAACAAATATATGATTCATGAACGTTAATGGAAGCTTGAGTTTGATGCCCATTGTGAATGGCAGAATATTAATATCTTTATATGATAAAGTTGAAGCACATGGTATTATTTATAATTTTGCACATGTAAGGTCTGGCAGCCCTTAGATAACAGCAAATCCTACTTTATCAGCCATAGCATTGGAAAATGCTCACAAAGAAATATGCCACACGATGTGCATGTGAGACAAGATTATAACTACAACTGTTAACTTAGCTGGTTGAGAATTTTGCAAGATACTGGTTAAGATGAAAAGATGCGTTACAGTTCTTGCTGCATTAATCTTGTTTAACTTACTTAGACTTTGATCTGTGGTTGACAATAAATGCTGTTTATATAGTGTAAGAAGTTGTAGTAGTTTATTGAAGAAACTGAAAATGATGTGTGCAGCTATCCCCACATATGCTTCAGGCAACATTGCTTAAGTAGGCGTTTGTTATAATAAAAACTGGCCTGTTATGATTGCTACTCATCTGTAATTATGGATGTTAAAAGTAATTTGTCCTCATTTAGCAATTTCTGATTAAATTTGGTATTGACATACATGACATGCTTTTCATTTATTAACGTGTATACAGTTCTGCTCTTTATCTCTTGTTTCAGTACCCAGAATTTGCATATGTGAAACAAAAACAACAACAACAACAAAGAAAAAGGATCATTTTTTGGTATAGTTGCCAAGTGACAACACTGTGTAACATAAGAAAATTTATTACTCAGACACTCCTGTTTCTGTTTCCTGGAGTAATCACATAGCAACATGCTCATTTTGGACAGTTAAATTTGATATTGGGCAACAAACTCGAATATTTAAAACCATTGTGCTTGACCTAAAGTAAATAAAACTGCTTGAACACTGGTAGTTTGATCCAGGTTCAAATCCCTACAGATGATGCACTTGTATTTTCATATGTCTCTTTTCCACAGAAGGTGAATATGAGCTAATTGGCTTTAGAAAGCCTTTCACAAAGGAATGAATCCCTTGACTAAAATAGCTGTTTAGCCTTTTTATTTTAATAGATTCAGTAAATAATCATAAATTTGATTTCACTTTGCTTTTATTCTTCCTATTCTTGTTAATGCCAAATTATTGCAGCTTTTCTGCTTAATAGTTTTTATGTACTGTAATAATGGTCCTTTAAGTATAAGAGTAGTGATGATGCTATGATGAGTAGTGATGAAGTTTGGTGGTATGCTATTAATGCTAGGAAAATGAATGAGTTTTATTTTTGTTATCTAAAGTTATACATTATATTGTATACTTCTTCAATTTACTCTTGCATTTTGTGATTTAGATTAAAATGTCTGAATCTTTTACTTTTATTAATACTAGCCACTTGCATGCCCAGCCACCTAAAATATTTTTTATAAATAAGAAAAAATATATAATAATAATTGAGACGAAAAACTGTGTTTTAAATCACTTAATTTGTTAATCTATAATAGAATTAAATTTCAGGGAAAAATTCAATCTCGTGATTAGCTTAATGGCAACACACTGCTACATGAAAAGATAAAAATATTTAATTTCAGGTTGCATTCAGCATATTTATTTTAAATCTGTGAGTTTATTGACTAAGATTGAAAGGCAAATATCTTTGCATTTTGCCCAGTTCATTGCTCTTAAATTTTGCTCAATACATTTCTTTTAAAATGTTAAATTTATGGATTAAGTTTGAAACATACATATTGTACACTTTGCCAAGTGGTAACACATTGCTTGTAAATTGCTAATTTGGTAAATTTTGTTTTCTGAGGCTGTCTCTAATATTAAGTAATGAAGAATCTGTATGTGTTTGTGTGTGTTTGCATGTATGTGCCTCACATTGTGGGAAAATGACGGCACCTAGAGCCACTGAATTTTATATACATATTGCTCTCCTCTCAAATGTGTGTTACCTCGAAGCCTGAATTTTGATTTTTATTTATTTGGTTTTTTATATGAATTTTTGATAAATGATCTCAGTGATTTAGAAGTAAATAATGGCATTGCTGTTCAAAAGAAAACACTTTATATGAATTTCATAATATAAGCAGTTCGTAGTTACTTTAAACATGATTACTTAAAGCTATTGGTAATCTGTTTAAAGTGATCATGCTCCCATTTATTTCAACATTAATGCACAAAGATTTTTAGATTTAAAAAATTTTTATTGAAAGCAATATTAAATAAAAAAAATTAAAATGTCTAAGTTCATAACTTTAGGGTTGTATAAAACTGCTGTGCTTTATATTTTAGATCATACAAAATGTATTAAATAAGAGTTTTTTAATATTTTGTAATTTCATTATTATGAATATTTTTTCCAGAGGTGACTTCTTAATGGAATTTGTTGGAGAAGTTTTAAATCATAAAGAATATAGGCAAAGAGTCAAGCATTATGCAAAAGAAAAAAATGTTCATTCCTATTTCATGGCTTTAAAGACAGATGAAATATTAGATGCCACCAGTAAAGGAAATCTCACTCGCTTTATTAACCACAGTTGTGATCCTAATTGTGAAACTCAAAAGGTGAGTCTAGTTTACAATTTACAATCTGAAACTGTGGATTTGTTGAAAAGTACTTGCTTATCTCATCTTTATTCTCTTTCATAATCTTTGATGCAATTGCCATTGGATTATGCATAATAATGATAAGAATTCCATGCAAAAGTAATCTTTTATTGTAAGAGGATTTACACTATCTATAGTTCTTTTCCAGTTTGGCTATGATATCAGATCTTCCTTTTAGCTTACTTCTAATTTTCAAAAAGAAAAGAGTATCCTAGCTGTCTAAAGTTAGGATTAGAGATAAAATACTAAAATATATTTTTTAAAAAATGAGTCCAGTCGGAAAGAGGGATATTTAAAACAGGGTTCGTAGCGGTCCTTATAAGTGCGTATAAGTCCTTATATTTGAAAATAAAATATAAAGGCCCTTACTTTTTCTTTAAAGCCCTTATTTTTTTTGTTTTTAGTTCTTATTTTTCGCATTTATTGCCCCCCCTTTTTTTTTTGAACGCGCTATTTTTCCTGGCATCAAAGCCGAAACTAAATAAACAACTTTTATTTTTAATATTTAATGTCAGATGGTGAATCATACTCCCGGAAATATCTTTTCCCCTTTCTCTGCATTAACATAACCTTTGGTATGCATGAAGAGTACAGACAGGTGCCCGTCGTTCTATTGGTCAAAGAATTGCGAAAGCAGTAGAAAATTCCGGTACATTTGGCATTCTTTTCCTCCCACCCAAATACTACACACGTTTGAACTTCTATCAAGATCTTAATAATTTGCATTCTTGTTCCACTTGATCAGTTCATATCCGTGTTTATTATGAGCATATGTATGAATGTTTATAATAACATAGTTGCAGTAACTGCTGAAGTATAGTAAACTTTCAAAAATGGTTGTGTTTTAACACAGATTAGCTTTCTAAGGAATAATATTCGGAATGGCTTAAATAAAGGGAAAGTAATCGAATAGTCAAAATATTTTTTTTTTTTTTTTTTTTTTTGCCAATACATTCATTATACAGTACGAAGATTGGGAGGTTCTCCCCTTTCTCGTCAAAATCTTGAATATTGAAACTATTACAGTTCGCTGCAAAACAAGCAACGGACTTTTTTTTTTTTTTTTTTCGTGTGTGTGTCACCCAATCTGGATTGAATAAGACTAAAAGTTCTGCGGTCTACCAACCCAAGTGAAGAATGATTGTATTCCGGAAATTTAACGCTGTCTGTTGAATTTTAGAATGAAAAACACCCCAGTTATTTAGGTCTCCCAATACCGGCAGCTGTTGATTCCAATTGCGTAATATCACATAGGGAAGAATTACGGTGCACATATTGCGCAATAACGTTGCGATATTTTGCAGAGATAATTAATTTTGATGTTCTGTCCGAGATTTGTTTATGAACACTTAAAAAGAGTTTTACTGTGCTAGCTAAGAAGAATATTTTTCAGTTCCATTGGTTTATTTTTATATGATGCGCATATCGAAATGTCAAAAGCATTTATTTAGCGGAAAAATTTAAAGAGCGGCTACAGTCTATCCCCCCTCCTCCGCTCCTCTTTTTCAAGTTATGCTCGACTGTCCGAATATTCGCAAATTTCCAAGTATGCGGGTTAGTTAAGCTTTTACTGTTAAAGGATGACTGCATGAAGCAAATTTCTGTCTTCTGATTTCAGAAATGTTCCTCTTTTTTACTTAAATTACTCTGCTTGCAATATCTGTTAAGGAAAAACTAATATACAATGAAAATTTAGAAAATGTTCAGAATTTAGATTTAAATTATTTAAATATCAATATGATTGGAAAAATAAATTTTATTTATTATTAGGTTCCAAGCGAATACAATAAATATGCCTTATTATTGTTTATTTTCTCTATTTTGAACTGAAATTTCATCATTAAATCTTGTAATATAGTTTAGTTCTGCATAGTTTTTTTTCCCCTCTCATTGTAAACTAGTTCTGTAAATTGAACTGTTATTTAAATTTTAAAAAAAAAGTAATTATTTTCCATGGTTGAGGTAATGCTTATTATCTCTTAATAAATACTGCATTTCTCATATTTTAAATTACAAGTCTAATTTTTAAGGTTATGCAGTTATGTATAATGTAATTAGACAGGTGCTTATTTTTTCTTAAAATGTGCTTGAAAAGTGCTTATAGGTGCTTATTTTTTTAACTAAAATGTGGCTATGAACCCTGTAAAATAATGCAAAATATTAATTTGAATTTGATCGAAGATCATTGCCGTTATTATACTTTTAAGGATTTCATTTGGTACAGCTTTTATTATTATTATTATTATTTGTCTTGTCTGCAGATATTCAAGTAAAAAATTCCAGTGTACAAAAAATTATGGCTATGAAAAAGGTGACTGAACATACAGCTGCTCCTGGAAATGAATGCCTGTAATGTTGAAATAGCATGCATTAGTGTGAGCGAAAAGGACAAATAAGTTGATTTAAATGGTATTGCCAAAAGTAAGAGGTGAGAATCTGCGTAAGGTTATTGAGAGTGTGAAGCAAGACTTGTGGTTTAAACGTAGTAGTCATTTGAGTATTTGTGATATTCTAAAGATTGTGAGATATTGGTTTAGAATCTGTATGAATGAATTTGTCATACTTGTTAGATATCATAAAGCTATATCTCTCAGTGGCGAAAGATGTATTGGAAAACTGAAATTAATAGCTCTCCTCCCTTTAGTTATGCTATCATTTAGTGCCGGTGTCTTCCTAGTGTCTTCTGCAGTTGTTACCCTTCAGGAAACACTGCAGAAATACTCTGAATGGGTAGTTTTCTATATCATAGCAAGCAGTAGGCTAAAGTGCATTTTTGCCTTTTAAAGCCATATATGCATATGCATTCAGGAAACACCACAGAAGTACTTGAATTGGCAGTTTTCAGTATCATACCAAGCAGTAGGCTAAAATGAATTTTCACCTTTTAAAGCCATGTATATGTGCATATGCATTTTGTTAAAAGCTATTGTTATGAATGAACGTATCATGCCCTTTTCAAAGAGATGAAAATTTATTTTAAAATACAGCTAGCCATGTTTATTTCCTTCAAAATTTCTAAGAAAATTAAATCTTGCATTCTGTGTGTAATTGTAATTTTTCAGTCAATCATAGCAGTCTTGGTGACTGCAGGTGACGTATGCAATCTAATAAACAGCAGAACTGTTTGAAAATAAAAGCTTCTTCAAAGGCTGTACTATAATTTTTGCAAAAAGTAGGCTGCAAAATGTGTTAATAATGTGGCCTGTATCAGATCAAATAATAACATGGAAATATGTACTTCAAATACTATTCCTTTAAACTTTTGTATCTTGTGAAAAATATAATTATGTATATATATATATATATATATTTGGTTTTATATGAATTTTAATGTCATAAAGGAAAATTTAATTGAATCTTTTTTTTCAGTTTTTGATATCAAATGAACCAGGAGAAGTAAACATGTTTTCAAACATATTAATTGACTTTTATGAAACTTTAATTCATTTTCGGCTGATGGGGCCAACCAGCGGCCGAGCAGTAATGTCGTTGAACACTGGTAGTTCGGTTCGAGGTTCGAATCCCACGAACAGGCTGGCTGCATGGGTGTTTTCGGGGTTTTCCCCATGTGTAATGTGTATACGAGCCAGTTTCCCTTAAAAAGTCCTCCACGAAGGCATCCCTCTCTTAAGGCAGATAACCCTCGAGTGCTTTCCCGTAATCTAATAAGCCAAACCAACCAGTTTCGGCTCATGAGTTCTGAATTGGAGTTTCAGTAAAAGGAGATTAATTTTTATATTTTTTTAATTTTGTGTATTTTCCTTTTTGCATTTTTATTTTTTAAGTTTGTTCTACTAGTGAATTCTTGTTTTAATTTTGATATGTTTAGATGTTTAGTACACGGTTGCAATTATGAATATTGTTGAAGAATTGCCTTGCTTTCATTCCAATTTGTTGTTAACTTTAGATGCTTTAAGTTTATTTTGCTTCAACCTTGCAGCTATAGCGCAGGATGGGTTTAATATTTAATTTTTTTTTACACTTTTATATATATATATACAGGGTGTGATTCGAAAGTTTCAAGACTTACCTCAGAACTAGAAATTTATTGGACATTTAAGTACAGCAGACTAAAATTCTTCAAAATATGATCCTTCGGCGTCAACACAACGCATCTTCCATTGTTCGTAGTCCTTCTGGAAGGCCTCGGTTGTTATGCTGTCAAGGGCTCTCATCGAAGCCTGCTAGATGGCTTCAATAGAGTTGAATCACTTTCCTTTTAGGCCTGTCTCGGTTCAGGGAAAGAGGAAAAAGTCATTTAAAGCCAAGTCGGGGCTTTAGGGTGGCTGTGGCAGTGTTGTTATGTTGAATTTGACCAAAACTTCGACAGTGGCGTTCAACATTTGAGCGAGCGCGTTCTCGTGGTATAGAATCCAATTGCCCTTGATTGCCGGGCAGATGCTGCGGACTCGATCCCCCAAGAGGCGGAGCACTTCAGTGTAAAAGTCATCTGTGATAGTCTGTCCACGAGCAACAAACTGCTTGTGAATCACTCCTTTACCATATTTAAAAAAGAAAAAAAACCATGCACTTTACATGCAACTTGATCATGCGAGCTTTCTTGGGTTTTGGCGACGAAGCAGTGTGCCATTCTGAGCTTTGACGCTTCAACTCAGGATCATATTCGTAGACCCAGATCTCATCACCAATAACCACTTTCTGCAGAAGGTTCGGATCAACATTTAACCGTTGGAGCATTTCCTGGCAAACAGTCATGCGCTGTTTCTTCTGATGTACAGGCAAAAATTTTGGCACCAGTTTGGCACACACTTTTTGCATCATCAAATTCTCCATCACAATCCTTCACACCGTACTCTGACTGAGTCCCAGTTCATTAGCAATTAATTGAGTACTAAGACGATGGTCATTGTTTAAAAGTTTCCGCACTCTCTCCACAGTTTGATCCGTTCGGCTTGATGATGGCCTCCCAGAGCAGTCGTCGTCTTCAACATTCCCAC